AGTAGTGGAAGACTATAGATTTGGAGTGAGACATATTCCTATGTTTCACAGAAAGTGTTGATGTGACCTTGGGAAAGTTGTGTTAATTCATTGAACTTCATTTTCTCATCTGTAAAATGGTAACTTTATAGAGTTGTTAAGAATTATAGGTCGAATATAAAAAATTTAGCATAGTACATAGTAAACTCTGAGTTAAGAACAGCCAAAGTGGCAAGGTGTTCTGGGATCATCTTCTGCATTCAGTGGTCAATGAAGGTGACTATTTAGAGCCACGTTCTCTCATCAGAAATAATTTGCATGAAAGTGTCTTCCCTAACCTTCATTTTTCATTTATCTTCAGTCCTTTAAAAATTATTTTGAATTATTTAAAGGTATCAGTTTCAACAAGAATGTCACAAAAGAAAATATCCAAATGAACAACAAGCATATGTTCACTAATATCATTATGTATCAAGGAAATGCAAAATAAAAACACAATGAGATTTCACTACTAAAATAAAAATAAAAACAAAACTAAAAATAAAAAACCTTTACACTACCAAGTGTTAGTGTGAATATGAGGCAACTAGGACTCTTACTTTGCTAAGGGGGATATAAAATAGAACGACCACTTTGCAAAACTTACTGTTTCTAGTAAAGTCAAACATATACCTACCCTGTCCCCAAGAGAAATAAATGCATATGTCTAAAAAAGACTTGTATAAGAATATTCATAGCAGCTTTATTCATAACAGCCCTAAACTGAAAACAACCTAATCCAATAAGAGAATGGATAAACAAATGTTGCTATATTGATACAATGAAGTAATATGTAGCAATAAAAAAGAATGAACTATTGATATGTGCAACAACATAGAAGAAGCTCAAAAATTATGTTGAGCTTAAGAAGCCAGGCACAAAAGAGTAGCATACTGTATGATTCCATTTATATGAAGTTCAACATAGGCAAAACTAATCTATGGTCATAAAAGTCAGAATAATGGTTACCCCTGGGAGTGTGAGGAGGTGGTATTGACTAGAAAGAGCACAGGGGAACCTTCTGGGGTAATGGAAATGTTCTATAACTTGATCTGGATCATGATTACATGGGTATATATGCAAATGTAAAAATTTATCAAGCTGTACACTTAAGATCTGTGTATTCTATTTTTTATAAATTATGCTTCCATTTTAAAAAATCTATTGGTTTCTAAGTTAGTGTTATATATCTGAAAAATTCATATCACACCCATATGCAAGAGACAGCGGTTTTGGATTTGCTATTAGTTTAAGCCTTAGATAAGAGAAATCGTGTTTGTAAATATCACATAGAAAGCATGGAGCAGCTCCGGAAAGAAAAACACATCTGTTTTATTTAGGCCCAATGTGACTTCCATGTGTCCCAGAGGCAATATTTGTCTTAACTCCACTAATAAAATGACTTAATTTCTTATATTCAGATTCTAACAGGGAGTTTTCTATTTCTCCTCTCTTCCTCTTCCTTAGTAACACGATTCAGCCTAATCATGGATTCTAATTTTGTTTTCTTTAGTTACTGACTCATAACCCAGCTTGAATTTGTCTACTAAGCTGATACAGTCAACCCATAGTTATTGAGAATATACTATGTGCAAGCCCCAGTGCTATACATATAGAGGAGTAAATATAGCTCCTGCCTTCAAAAATTGTCGAAGCAGAGAAATCAGTGATAATAATAGTAATAATAATAATAGGAAACATTTCTTGAATATGAACTTTTTATTAAGCTCTATCCAAAGCATTTTGTATGGATTATCTCATCTAATCATCACAACAACCCTAAGAGGCAGTGCAAGATGTTAGTGTAAGTCTGACATCCTTTGTATGAAGGAGAAAAATGAAGAACCTCTCTGTTATCTTAAGCAATTCAACTCTGGCCCAACTTGAAAACCTCACTGTAGCAAAATAGAGGTAGATGACTGAACTCATTCTCTTTAGAAAACAAATCGGTTGCAACTGAACATGCCCCTTAGGGATCTCACCCCCTCACCTCCCAACACACATATATACATGCACCACAATGTTCTCCTTGACGAAAGTTTGGGTAATAAAAGGGGTTTTTTTTTCCTTTTGTGAATTAGTACCCTTATAAATTGTCACCCTTGATAATTGCCCATCTGTCTCACCATCACATTCAGTTTTGATGTAAATGCTGTTTTTAATCCCTATTTTATTGTTGAGGAAACTGAGGATCAGGCAAGTTGAGTAATATGCTCTATTAGTTTTTTATTGCTGTGTAACAAATTACTACAAACTTGTCAGTTTAAAACAGTAAACATTTATTATCTCACAGTTTCTGTGGGTCATGTGTCCAGCACAGCTTATTGGGGTCCTCTGCTCAGGGTCTCAGAAGGCTGCAGTCAAGATGTCAGCAGGGCTGCATTCTAATTTGGAGCTCTAGGTCCTAGGTTCCAAGCTCACATGGTTCTTGGCAGAATGCAGTTTCTTACATCTGTATGATAGATGTCTCATTTTCTTGCTAGCTGTTGGCTGGAAACTGCCTTCTGCTCCAGAGGTCATTGCCGCATGATCTCCTCCATTGGCCCTCCCACAACGTGGTAGCTTGTTTCTTCAAGGCCAGCGGGAGAATCTCTGACCCTGGGGAGGGCACCAGACCCTCTTTTAAAGTGCTTACTTAACTAGGTCTGGCCCATACAAGATATCTCCCTTTTTATTAATTCAAATTCAGCTGATTAGGAGCCTTTGTCACATCTGTAAAGTCCCTTCTGCTGTATAATGTAACATAATCAAACAATTGATATCTCATCATATTCACAAGCCCTACCTACACTCAAAGGGAGGAGATAATACAGGGTGGGTACACTGAGAGGATGGCAATCTTGTGGACCATGTTAGAATTCTGCCTACCGACAGCAGATAATCACCCAGCAGGTAATTGGCAGAGCAGTGTTCTCTGAGCAAAGCATGCATCAAAATCATTAAGTTGTACTGCCTCTCAAAAACATAAAAGGTTAACTACCAAAAACAATTTTAGAAATATTCCAAATGTGTGACATTAGTGAATAATTAAACAATCAGTGCCATTAAAGTAAGTGTAGCTATGTTAATACCTAAAAATGTGTATATGTAAGTAATGTTAAGGAACAAAAATGAGAATATAAAATAATACATGCTGTCTATTGTTATGTTAATAATACATGGATTAGAAAGTATATGATGATATAAAATATTTGATTTAAGTTTCTGAACCTTTAAAAAATTTATCTGTCATTTTTCAAGTATAATAATTCTATAAAAAGATAGTTTACCATACAAAGTAGCAGATGATAAATGTTAAATATTTGTGTTGACAGTCAATGCTACAGAAGTTCATATTAGGGGAGATTAATGTGGACTAGAGTTTCCCTTTAGGTGTAAAAAAAGGTTAAATTTTTTTATGAGGTAGTTTATCATAAATTTTGCCCTAGGACTAGTTCCTTTTCTGTAGCTTGTCATTCTGCTCAGTGCACAGAATTGCATGTCTTCTTTGAAGAGGACCAGGTCTTCTTCCCAGATGTGGCTCATTCTCATTTAAATAGAACTTTAACACTGCTTTAGAAACTCACTTAAAATCTTAAGAATCATTGTAATAGCCCTGTTTTATCATAGGGTAGGAAACGTGGTGTTGCTGTATATCTCTGTTAGTTGACACTTTTCACGAGACACTTCATCATTTTCAACTATTGCAAAGTAAATTGGTGGGATTTTTTTCCCCCTTCTGCTAGGGATCTCAATTATTCGTTCATTCTATGTCCTTAGAATAGATAACCATCAAAACTGTTTATGAATTAGTTCTTATTTAAAAAGAAGTTGTGGTAGACTGATTAATGGCCTCCCAAATATGTCCATGTCCTAATTCCTGGAACCTGTGAATGTCACTTTATATGGCACAGGGGACTTTGTATGACAAGAGACTTTACAGATGTGATTAAGTTAAGGATCTTGAGATGAGGAAATTATCCAGGATTACTTGAGTGGGTCTGATGTAATCAAAATGGTCTTTATGAGGGACACAGGAGGAGTCAGATGGCCTGTGATACAGACCAGTGGTTCTCCAAGTGTGGTCCCAGATCAGCAGCATCAGTGTCACCAGGGAACTTGTTAAAAATGCAGATTCTTGGACTCTGCTCCAGACCTACTGAGTTAGAAAGTCTGAGGATGAAGCCCAGCAATTCGTGCCCTCCAGGTGATTCTGATACATGCTAAAGTTTGTGAGAATCACTGATATACACTAAGTTTTGTTCTCCCTGATAGAACAGGCTTCAGGCTAAAATGCTGGGAAAGCTCACTCTGTTGGCCTGTCAAAGGGAATTTGCAAGTGCTTCCTTTCTGCCTGAGTTCTATCAGATTGTAATCACTTGAACAGCTTAATTGAAAAATCACTTACGTTTATAGCTGAAATTAAATATGTTTTGTATTTAAATAACCACTTTTGATTAAAATCATATTTTGTTGAAAGTGGTTGGTTTTATCTGTGTGCTGTAACGATATTTATAAAAACTCATCAAATTTCTAGCAGTAACTAACATCCTGTTCAATATAAGGTGAAATGTTTTACATCAAATCTCATGCTGTGTAATGGCCAATCAAAAGGTATTTAAGGTGGCTGAATGGATTTCTTGGCTTAGTATTCAAAATTAAACATTTTAAGACATTAACATTTAATGTTTTTCTCTCTTCTCAAAGTTGATTTTATGTAATCCTCATTATTTGCAGCTCCTGCAAATCTTGCTTAAGCAGCAAGTAGCAACACTTTCTTTTTCTCATCCTTATGGATTTACTGAAATGTAGATTGTTTGAAAATGGGTTTAGCTTTGAGGCACGTGTCTGTTTAGCTGTGTGAATACTGTCATTTATTATATAAGAAAACAAAACAGCAGCTTTGTCTTGACAAACATATATCATTGATTTCTGAAAAGCCAAAAGAAATAACTCGTTCCATTGTGCTCTTATTTGACAAGTGATCTTGTGGTTCCTTTTAGGTATCCAATAGGAAAAGCACTCTCCGGTCTTCCTCTGTAGAACTGGATGGTTCCTACTTGAGTGTAGCCAAACCACAAACCTACTATCAAACCAAGCAAAGGCCTAAGTCTGCAAACCAGGACCCAGCTTCAGAATCCCTTGTGGAGTTTAGGAATAATTCTTTGAAACCAGCAGCCCTTCATTATCCCAAAGAGGATCTAGACAGGGTGCAGTCAGAGACCAGAACATGTAATTATGGATCCCCAGGGAGAAAACTAGTAGATGCAGTCCCTACAGAGAAAGCTCCACCAGAGGAATTGAAGATGAAGGAATGCCAACACCTTAAGCCTGCTCCCTCTAGTCAGTGTTGTGATCACAGACTTTCTGAAAATGCAGATCATGTTCATGACAGCCATCCTACAAACCTGGCACCTCAATATTCCAAGACACATCCAGAATCCTGCAGTTATTGTGAGCTTTCCTGGGCATCTCTGATGCATGGCCGAGGGGCACTTCAGCCTAGTGAAACTGATGTCAAAAAGCAACTCTCAGAAGATAGAAGGCAGCAACTTATGCTTCAGAAAATGGAACTGGAAATTGAAAAGGAGCGCCTTCAGCATCTGCTCGCCCAGCAGGAGACAAAGCTGCTCCTAAAACAGCAGCAGCTTCATCAGTCTCGACTGGATTATAATTGGTGAGTCCTACCCGTACTTTCAGCAACGTCTGTAGCTGGGAGAACACGGTGTAAAATGACTGCTGTGTTACTATAACAGATGTGTAGGAACAGAGGTTCCTCGGGTTCTTGGCTTGCTCAAGATGCATACCAACTATGACTACCAAGTAAATTCCACTGTCTTCTTTGGAAGACTTGAAAGATTGCCTTGTCTTCCAAAGTGTTAGCTTAGAGTATCTACTTCTGTGCAGTCCAGTCTAATTTTTGCTGGATTCCAAAGACAGTATTTTTAAATGATCCTACTATTACACAAATCCTTTGCTGTTTGATGTAGAGAATATTAGGCGTTAAGTAAATGCTTGAGATTTCAGGTTGTGAAATCAGATTGTGAAGAAGTATGACTGGCTGTCATCATTCAATATTTATGTATATCCACCGTAATATAAAATATAGCAAATGATGGGAACCTTCTAAATTCAACCTTTTCTGGTCATGAAACATAACCTGTTCAATAACCAGTTCTTATAAACTTACCCACATTTAAACTATTCTTCTCTTAACAATTCTTCCCTAAGAACAGTGTTTCAAAAGCTAAAGCACAGGGGCCGGCCCAGTGGCGCAGTGGTTAAGTGCGCGTGCTCCGCTTCAGCGGCCTGGGGTTCGCAGACTCGGATCCCGGGCACGCACGGACGCACCGCTTGTCAAACCATGCTGTGGCGGCGTCCCATATAAAGTAGAGGGAGATGGGCACAGATGTTAGCCCAGGGCCAATCTTCCTCGGCAAAAAGAGGAAGATTGGCATTGGATGTTAGCCAGGGGCTGATCATCCTCACAAAAAAAAAAAAAAAAAAGCTAAAGTACAATTTTGATATTATATAGTGTTCAGCATATGCAGTCATAAAGTTTATTTTAATTTATTCAAGCAAAAATAGTAATAAATCAGACAATTGTGTTTGAAACACAATAAAATATGGTATTTATGTCTTTTTAAAAAAAAACTAAATTTCAAGTTTTCATAGGGAAGTGCTTATATATATCCCTACCATTTCTTCCTTGGTCAAACATATCATTTCCCCTTTGTACACATTCTTATTAGGCACATACATCCTATACAGACACACTTAAAACTACTGTTATTTCCTTTACTTCTTGGAGTTAATTTTCTTTCACTTAAAGACTCTGCTTAATATTTTTTACATTCTAATTTCTTTGAAGGTTCTTGACATTTTTCCCTCAGTGTAATACTTTTCTTAGAACCAAAAGTGATCTTCCTTTTTTTCTTCTTTTATGATCAAACAGTTCTATTCTTTGTTGTTGAAACCTGGAAGCTTTTAAAGTAAGTGAAAATGAAACCTCTTATAACAAGATTGTCACAAAGGCTGAAATGTTGCTTCGATTTTATGACCTCAATCTCTAATCCTCCAGTTAATGTGTAGTCTCTCCTGAGAACTTCATTTGACAAACATTTATTGAATGCTTATGGTATGTGAGGAATGGTTCTAGGTACTTTGGATAGAAAATGAATCAAATGTGGACTTGAAAGAGGGCACAGTCTATCCGTAGCAGGAGAGAATGGATGATTTTAGAATAAGGGTCAAGTTCATTGCAACAGCATTTTATATTCGAATAATGCTGCATAATGATGATAAAGTCTTTATTCTCTTGATCATCCCAGCTTAGATGAAAGAGCTATGAAACACAGCTTTTGAGCAAGTTACATGTATGCAAAAATTTATAGAGGTTTTTAAAACTTTTGATTTTGAAATAATTATACATCGATAGGAAGTTGCAAAAATAGTACAGAGAGGTTCTGTGTACCCTTCACCCAGTTTCCCCCAATGGCTGCATCTTACACAACTACAATACATTATCAAAACTAGTAAATGAACATTGGTACAACGTATATGTATATTTCTATGCCATTTTTTTATGTGTGTAGATTTGTGTAACCACCACCACAATAAAAATACAGAACTGTTTCATCACCACTAAGATTTCTTTTGTACTACCCCAGTAGAGTTTCCCCACCTTCTTCTGCCCCCACCATCCCTAACCCCTGGGAACTCCTAATATGTTGTCTATTTCAATAATTTTGTCATTTTTGAGAATGTTATATAAGTGAAATTATACAGTATGTGAACTTTTGATATGGCTTCTTCCATTCAGTGTAATGCTCTTGAGATCCATCTAGGTTGTTGCATATATTGTACCTTATGATTGCTGAGTAGTATTCCAGGATGTGGATATACTCTGATTTGTTTAACCATTCATCTGTTGAAGGACAATTTGGTGTTTCCAGTTTTTGTCTGTTACAAATAGAGCTGCTATGTACATTTTTTACAAGTTTTTGTATGGACTAAGGTTTTTCATTTCTACTAATGAAAGCTAGGAGTATGATTGCTAGATCGTATGGTAAGTGCATATTTAGTCTTCTTAAACTAAATATGTATTTAGCTTATACTATATTTAATTTAAAATACTTTTCTACTAGCAACGTATGAGAGATCATTTCTCCACATCCTTGCCAGCGTTTGGTACTGTCGTAAATTTTTGTTTTACCTGTTCTAATCTATGTGTAGTGATATTTCATTGTGGTCTTAATTTGTATTTCCCTAATAGCTAGTGATATTGGACATCTTTTCATTTCCTTATTTGCCCTCCTGCCATCCTTTTGGGTAAATTGTTTCTTTCATATCTTTTGCCCATATTCTAATTGGACTGTTTGAGTTTTTTTTACTGTTGAGTTTTGAGAATTCTTTATATATTGTAGATGTAAGTCCTTTGTCAGATATGTGGATTGCAAGTATTTGCTCCTGATCTGTAGCTTGTCTTTTCATTCTCTTAACAGGATTGTTCACAGAGCAGAAGTTTTTAATTTTGATAAAGTTTGATTTATCAATTTTTTCCTTTGTAGATTATATAAAGTTTTTATCATGAATGTTTGTTGAATTTTGTGAGATCCCTTTTATGCAAGTGATGTGATCATGTGATTTTTTTTATTCAACCTGCTAATATAGTGGATTGCGTTGATTGATTTTTGAATATTGACCTAGCCTTGCACCCCTGGAATAAACCGCATTTGATGATAGCGTATAATACTTTTTATATATTACTAAATTCTATTTACTAATATTTTGTTAAGGATAATTGCATCAATATTGATGAGGGATATTGATCTGTAGGTTTCTTTTTTTTATACGGTCTTTGGTTTTGGTATCAAGGTAATAGTGGCCTAATTTATTTATTTCATTTGTTTCTTTATTATTTCCTTCCTTCTGCTTGCTTTGGATTTATCTTGCTCTTCTTTTTTCTAATTTCTTAAGGTAGGAGCTTGGATTATTGATTTGAGACTTTCTTCTTTTCTACTGGAAGCATTTCATGCTATAAATTTCTCTGTCAGCACTGTTTTAATTATGTCTCTCAAATTTTGGTATGTTAGTATGTTCACTTAACATAATGTCCTCTAGGTTCATCTATGTTGTTGCAAATGGCAGGATTTCCTTCTTTCTCATGGTTGAATAATATTCTATTGTGTGTGTGTGTGTGTGTGTGTATGTGTGTGTGTGGCATTTATATATATATGTCTCACATCTTCTTTATCCATTCATCTGTTGAGGACACTTAGGTTGTTTCTATATCTTAGCTATTGTGATTAATGCTCCAATGAACGCAGGAGTGCAGATATCTCTTTGAGATACTAATTTTGTTTCCTTCAGATAAATACCCAGCAGTGGGATTGCTGGATCATACGGTAGTTCTATTTTTAATTTTTTTTTTTTTTTTTTTTTGTGAGGGAGATCAGCCCTGAGCTAACATCCGTGCTAATCCTCCTCTTTTTGCTAAGGAAGACCGGCTCTGAGCTAACATCTATGGCCAATCCTCCTCCTTTTTTTTTTTTCTTCCCCAAAGCCCCAGTAGACAGTTGTATGTCATAATTGCACATCCTTCTAGTTGCTGTATGTGGGACGTGGCCTCAGCATGGCCAGAGAAGCAGTGCGTCGGTGCGCGCCCGGGATCTGAACCCGAGCCGCCAGTAGCGGAGCGCGCACACTTAACCGTAAGCCACCGGGCCGGCCCTCTATTTTTAATTTTTTGAGGAACCTCCATACTGTTTCCCATAATGACTGTACCAACTTAACGTTCCCTCCAACAATGTACAGGGATTCCTTTTTGTCCACATCCTCCCCAATACTTGTTATTTCTTGTCCTTTTGATAATTGCAATCCTAACAGGTATGAGGTGATATCTCATTTGCCTGATGATTACTAGTGGTGAGCATCTTTTCAGGTACCCGTTGGCCATTTGTATGTCTTCTTTGGAAAAATGTCTTTTCAGGTATCCTGCCCATTTTTTCTGTTATTTGTTTTTTGGTTTGGGCGGATTTTTTTGCTACTGAGTTGTATAAGTTCCTTATATATTAACCCCTTATCAGATATGTGGTTTGCAAATATTTTCTCCTGTTCCATAAGTTGCCTTTTCATTTTGGTAACTGTTTGCTTTGCTGTACAGAAGCTTTTTATTTTAATGTAGTCTCAGTTGTTTATTTTTGCTTTTGTTCCTGAGCTTGCCAAGACCAATGTTGAGGAGCTTTTCCCCTATGTTTTCTTCTGGTAGTTTTATAGTTTCCGGTCTTATATTTAAGTGTTTAATCCATTTTGAGTTACTTTTTGTGAGTGGTATAAGATAGTGATCCAATTTCATTCTTTTACGTATAGATATCTCGTTTTCCCAATTGTTTCTTGAACAGACTGTCCTTTCCCCATTGAGTATTCTTTGCTCTCTTGTCAAATATTAGTTGACCATATATGCATGGGTTTATTTCTGAGTTTTTGGTTCTGTTCCATTGGTCTTTGTGTCTGTTTTTATGCCAATACTGTTTTGATTACTATAGCTTTGTAATATAGTTTGAAATTAGGAAGTGTGATGGCTCTAGCTTTATTCTTTTTTCTCAGGATTGCTTTGGCTATTCAGAGTCTTTTGTGGTCCCATGCGAATTTTAGGATTGTTTGAAAAATGCAAAT